TGTTTGTTTTAGTGCGAATATTGAAATTAAGTGTATCGTAAAGTTATATTCGGAAAGAATAAACCAGTTTTATTAAGTTAGGACTTGTGTCACTAAAGTTTCATCAGAACGAAGTTACGAAAAATTAATTAACAAACGGAGACGTAGCAGTATCTTGTAAAGCTGTTCTGTCATGGTGGTTATGCACACGCACCATATTATTGAAGTATCTTGTAAATCTGTTCTGTCATGGTGATTACGTACATGCACCACATTACTGAGTATCTTGTAAATCTGTTCTGTCATGGTGGTTATGTACACGCACCACATTATTGAAGTATCTTGTAAAGCTGTTCTGTCATGGTGGTTATGTACACGCACAACATTATTTAAGTATCTTGTAAATCTATTCTGTCATGGTGGTTATGTACATGCACCACATTATTGAAGTATCTTTTAAAGCTGTTCATGGTGGTTATGTACATGCACCACATTATTGAAGTATCTTGTAAAGCTGTTCATGGTGATTATGTACATGCACCACATTATTGAAGTATCTTGTAAATCTGTTCTGTCATCGTGGTTATGTACACGCACAACATTATTTAAGTATCTTGTAAAGCTGTTCTGTCATGGTGGTTATGTGCACACACCACATTATTTAAGTATCTTGTAAATCTGTTCTGTCATGGTGATTACGTACATGCACCACATTACTGAGTATCTTGTAAATCTGTTCTGTCATGGAGGTTATGTACATGCACCACATTATTGAAGTATCTTGTAAATCTGTTCTGTCATACTTTTGTTATTCTTACACAATCTATGTAGACATGGTAGAGCAACTATAACATAAAAGCATTAACTTTAAATCTTTGATATTATCAATATATCTAGGGAATATTTATAGGCAGATAAACAGATTAATAATATTAGTGATTTCGAGTATGACATTAAAAGTATAAACATTACATGAAATTATTAAAATTGAGACTTACAGGCTTTTATAATTCAGAACTTCTTCAATGATTTGATAGTCTTAATAGTTAAAAATTACAAAAGTATAAAACAAGCATTTCTTTTTGTACACTAATAACATTAATTAATTTGGCAAGCTATGATAACAGAAGGAAAGGTTAAACAAAGTGGAAGTTCGGCTCAAAATTGAGTGCACAAGTTAAAAGACAGAGGTTAAGTACAGAAGTAGGTACTGTATAATAAACTGGCTATTTTGACTTAGCATCCATAGTCGTAAGGACCGAAAACTGACATATGCCAGTATCACAAGAGGTATCATTTGTAATTTAAACTCACAAATTAATCCTCTTATAAGAGTTTCTAAAATTTGCAAAAAAAATAAAAAAACACTTAACCATTTCAATTATGTAGATTGAAGAACTTTGTATCTTTTTCCCATGCAAAATGCTAGGAATTGACAATAGTGCATGAACCAAACCATTAGTATTTTTATGTGTTCTATAAGTAAGGTATACTCTATTCTTTCTTTACATTAAACACAAAATTCATTCAATTATGTAGAAAATTCAACAATAGTCTTGCTAAAGATAATAGGTTTCAAGACTATCACAACTTCTTTAAAATTTTTAATTTGACACTTTTATTCCTTAGAATTTTGTTTGAGGTAATAGCACACAGCTTTAATGTATTGACCTTCACTGGTTTTACCAACCATTAGTTAGTTAAAGTTATTATTTTATATAGTTAATATCAGCTAAGTTTGTTATTAAATCACTAATTTACATTAGTTGTTGTACATACAATATCTTATTGTTGTAGAATTTTCACATCAACATTCGTCTTGTTTGTGAAATGGAAAAGTTGATGCTATTAATCTGACTTGGTTTAAACTAAAACATAAGGGTTTAATTGAGACAGTTAATTCTAATCTTTATAAGTAAGAATAGAAGAACAGTATATTTAATTAACTATACTCATTACGAGGTTGATTTTTAGTTTTGGTTTATGTAACTAGCTTGCTTCATTCCTAACTTAATATTACTATCTTAGAATAAGCTTTTTACAAACTATGCTTTATCCTAATTTTTCAAAATGTTAAAATTTCAGTGAAAACACTTTTAAATTAATAAGTTTATAATATAAATGCATTATACAATTAACAGATACATTATGTTCACTTTTTTTTTATTACCAAAGAAAACAAAATCTAGCATAAATAACAAACATACCAAAGGTAGATTTAACTTACCTTTACCTATAACACATAGAGCCATAATGTTGGCTGAATACCATTTCTCATGGAACTTCAAAAGCTCTTCTCTTACATCAATATTTTGAGACTTTGGGATCTCTTCTAATGTCTCTTTGTTTCCTGAAAAAATATATCAAAAACACACAGAATTAGATGAAATATGTGAGTAGTAATAATATTGTATACAAATAAGTTCTGAAGATTCTTAAAAACATCTCTATAGATTTTCTTCTATACAAAGATGGTAGAACTCAAACCACTCAATTCGACAACAGTTTTCTGTCACCAACTCTTCAGAAGATTCAACAGTACAGAAAAGGGAAGTTATTCTAGGCTTATAAAACTAAATGATCACTAACAAGATTTGTTTTACATGTTCGGATAAAATGAAATATTGAACTGGGACAGAGTCTGATATTTTATGAGGAAAAAAATAAAAGAGAGGTCAGATATTAAGGTAAACATCATAACAAATAATGTGATTACTGAAAAATATGGAATTTTATAAAAAATGCTGTTGTTTAGGATGTTAAAAAGTGATCATTTTAATTACTTCAAATGTTCATGATGAATGAATTACTAGAAATTACAAAATAATCACCTGTTCCAAATTTACTGAAGTCATGTTTTGGATTTCCAAGGGATTTTTCCAACTGGTCTAAATGCCACACATCCTCTTGCAAGTTTTTTTCATGCTCAGAGTTAACAGCATTGACTTCTCGACATGTAGCACTTTCGGTAAAGAGTGGTCCAACAAAAAACTGAGAAAACCTAAAAAAATGGATAAAAGTATTATTTGTGCTGTCTTTTTTGTTTGATTACCTACACTTTATGAAGAAATAGAGAAGTCACTATAACAAAAGTTATGTTAGTCACCAATGTTAGTCCAGACACTTCAACCTTCAGACTTACTGGAAGTATTACACAAGACAATATTGTTTGAGAATGTTTCTTATTCCATAATTTTACACAGCATGTTTTTACAAAGAAAAATTGCTAGCAATTTATATGCTGAAATCTTTTGGTTAAGTTGTGGTCTCTAATCATGATTTTTTGTTTGTTTGTTTGTTGTTAAGCACAAAACTGCACAATGGGCTATCTGTGTTGTGTCTACAAAAGATATCAAGATCTGGTATTTAGCATTATAAGCCACTGAGCCATTGACGGGGGGGGGGGGGGGCTCTACTTATCTAACCTATATAAACAGCAGTGTGTGCCACATCAAGCTTGATTCTCGATATAGGAGGAGTCATAAAAGGCAAAATGCATTTATCCAGAAGTGTACTTTGAAGTGTAGTGAGTGTTGATATAATAAGCTTAAAGTAAAGATGTAGTGTGTGATCATCTAGCTTAGAGCCAAGTGCATTAAATTTATCATGAAAGTAAAAATATCGATTCAATTTTAAACTTAAATTGTTTCTGAATTAAGCTATTTTCTGTTATATTATCAATGTTTTCAATAAAAAAACAAACAACTTTAATCAACAGAGATTCTCAATTGAAAAAAATAACAAATATTTTTCTAATATTATTGTATATACATTTACTTTTATACTTTCAGTACATAGACTAACAACAATACTAGGTTATACTTTTGTTGCTAAACAACATGAAATCAAAGCCATTGTTGGAAAGTAGTGTTACCAAAATGCACTGACTTTTCTACATATCAGAAGTTGTTAATCTAACTGATTTTTACCATTAATTATTCTATGAATACGCCACAAATTCATTTCATGAATGATCGTAATTTTGGTTGGCTCACAAAGTAATTTACTGATGTTTGACTGCCTCAATTGCACTTTTCTGCCTATTTGTTGATAAAGCTTGATTTTTGCTAAATATATTTGATTCAGTTATCTATGAAATGTGAGGTTAGGGTATACTAATGTGGTGGAGGTGTTAGTTAAACAATAACGAACTCACAGATGAACTACCAAAGAACTGTCACACCTACTGAATGTTTTACCTCAAGTACATTTCTTGCACTATGATGTTACACATAGCATCTTTATACAATAACAAACTGCCAAACTAGCAAAAAGTGAGTATGGGCAATGAAACATAGTGATATAACCCATATTTCATATAACCCATGTGGCACAATGTTAATGTTGCTACCACGGTAACACAGAAAAATAACACCAAATGTTAAAATCATACAGAAAATTACAAGAAAGCTAACATCTACGTCTCATTTGTACTGACCATATTAACAACTGACTTTTGATATTACTGAAATATCACATGTTATATTTTAAAACACAAATATCTCACTGTAATCATTTTTAATTAGTTCCCATCAAGTCTCAGTTTTATGATTCTACACTATACCATGTATGGAATCTGCTCAAAACATTAAATCATACATAAAACATACATTGTTAAAACAGGTGACATTAACAATGTTTTAGATATAGATATATGGTTATTAGATCATCAATCTTGCTGTCTATTTCTGAAAAGAACAAAAATGTTCTCAGACCATCTTTTAAATTTGTACTTACATGATAGGTACTGATGTAAAAAAAACAAGAAAGAATGGTTATTAAGTATCTTAACATTCTGTACTTAGGGTTATTTTAATTCCTTACATAATCTGCTAAATTGTTACTCTTATTCTTACACTAGCAGAGACAGTTTTGGCTGGTGGAAATCAAGTTACAAAATTCTACAAAGATTACCTGTCGAGAGCTCCTTGCAAAAACTCCGGAGCCACATCAAAATAGAAGTTGGTATGTTGTGTGCTTGTGAATGCATTATCATTTCCACCATGTTGGTTTAAAAACTATAAAATATTACATATATAAAGTCATATTTATATAATTATTAGGAATGTCAAATTTTAGAATAGAAAAGACAAAATCACATACAAGTGTACATCTGAAACCAATAGATAAAAAGTTATAATTGAAAGTATATTTTCAGAAAAAACAACAAAAAACTAAAAAGTCTGAAAAATACTGCAAGCTTCTTCAGTAAAATTATGAGTCACAAGGTAAAACCTCAAGTATCTGTTTCAGTGCAAAAAGTGAAATTACAAAACATTTACGTACTAAAATTAAGAAAATGTATTATCTACTGTCTCTACTTTTTACATCCAAATGATAAGTTTCTTTTATTTTTCAGTAAAGCTGCAAAATGTCTACCTGCACTAGCCATCTTTAATTTTGAATTGATAGAGTAGAGGGAAAGCAGCTGTTCAACAAAACCATCAACAACTCTCAGGATACTCTTATCTGTCCAAATAATGGGATTTAAACATTTCTCTTACAGTGTGTTCCTGGTCCCAAAGTGTGGAGTATATTTTGTGTTAATGGCATGCAATCCATAAGCCCTTATATTCACAGTCTGGGCATTTTAACCACTATGCCACACCAAGCCTCAATTGCAATTAAAAACATATTTACATTGAATGCAATGATAACTGTTTTGCATGAAACATGTTTAAACAAATCTTGTCCATATTTTCAGATGAACTTAAAGGAGACTTTCTGTATTTCAAATTAATTATAATAGAGTAACTCCTGTTGCTTTTTCCTAAGAATATTTCAGTCCTGAAATTATTACACTTTGGATTTTACTTTTTCCTAACAATATTCTAGTCCTGAAGTTATCACACTTTGGATTTTTCTTTTTCCTAACAATATTCTAGTCCTGAAGTTATCCCACTTTGAATTTTACTCTTTCCTAACAATATTCTAGTCCTGAAGTTATCATACTTTGGATTTTACTCTTTCCTAACAAAATTCTAGTCCAGAAGTTATCACATTTTAGTTTTTCTTTTTCCTAACAAAATTCTAGTCCAGAAGTTATCACACTTTAGATTTTTCTTGTTCCTAACAATATTCTAGTCTTGAAGTTATCACACTTTAGATTTTTCTTGTTCCTAACAATATTCTAGTCCTGAAGTTATCACACTTTAGATTTTTCTTGTTCTTAACAATATTCTAGTCCTGAAGTTATCACACTTTAGATTTTTCTTGTTCCTAACAATATTCTAGTCCTGAAGTTATCACACTTTGGATTTTTCTTGTTCCTAACAATATTCTAGTCCTGAAGTTACCACACTTTGAATTTTACTTTTTCTTAACAATATCCAAGTTCTGAAGTTATCACAATTTGGATTTTAATCTTTCCTAACAATCTTCCAGTCCTGAAGTTATCACACTTTGGATTTTACTCTTTCCTAACAATATTCTAGTCCAGAAGTTATCACACTTTGGATTTTACTTTTTCTTAACAATCTTCCAGTCCTGAAGTTATCACACTTTGGATTTTACTCTTTCCTAACAATATTTTAGTTCAGAAGTTATCACACTTTGGATTTTACTCTTTCCTAACAAAATTCTAGTCCTGAAGTTATCACACTTTGGATTTTACTTGTTGTTAACAATATCCCAGTCTTGAAGTTATCAAACTGTGGATTATTATGATTATTTAAAGTTGAGCTAGTTTCAAAAAAATAAGTGTCATATATTCCTAATAAAGCTAATAAACTTTATGACTCTGAACTTATATTTTTCTTTTGATACTGTAACTATATAGATACCCATGTTCAAATAAAACTGTTCATTTCATTCAATTGTTCAACTTCTAAATATAAAGATAAGTCAAGAATCTTTGTTTTTCCACTCAACACTGAAGATTTTAGTATTCAGTAGCTAATGTTCTTACAGAAATTGCCCATAACCAAGTGCAATGTCAAACACTCCATGAAGCAAAACAGATTGAATGTTAGAAGTTTTCTTTTCTTCTTAAAAAATAATAATTTTGTTTTGTGTAAACACATGAATTTAATACATTAATATAGATTATTATGAGTGGGGACCCATGCAAAATAAACTAAATTTGTACAGAAAAAGACAGAAAGTTACTTTCACATAAATAATATATATGTAAAAAGCAAAAACATTCCCCTGGATAAAAATGTTACATATTTTTCACCACAGAAGAGAATAATCAATGTAACTTATACAGGCAGCTTTACGCTAATAAACAAACTTGTATATATATATATATATATATATTCTTACTAAACATTTGTATTTCTTTTGATCAATATTTTCATTATTTCATGTTCATATTTTGGATAAAACTTAAAGAATCGAAGGTCACATACATTTTATACATGACAATACCACATTAATGTTATATTGTTAATGATAAAGCTAAATGTACTTACTCCACTGAACTCATTTTCTGAGGGGTACTGAAAAAACAAAACAAAAGTTTAGGTAAAAATTATCACCTGTTTTCTTAATGACATTTAAGTGATGCATTTTTATTTAATTTTCTTATAGTTTTAGTAAAGAGTTCGACATATCTTTTCCTCTGTAAATAATTTTTAATTGCTTTACTTAAACTTGTACATGATTTTCTCTGAGCTCTATCAACAGTACTAACGTTGCTTATGATATTGGATCAAGGGATCTTTTTATGCATGTATATCACACAAATACAAGTATATTACACTGATACAAGTATATCACGCAGATATATGGATAGAACCCTGATGCAGGCATATCACACTGATACAGGTATATCAAACCAATTAAGGTACATGACAGAGGTATCATTACATAACACCAATATAGGTATATCACACAGATACAGCTATATCACACCAATAAAGGTATATGACAGAGGTATCATTATATAACACCAATATAGGTATATCACACCAATAAAGGTATACGACACAGATACAGCTATATCACACCAATAAAGGTATATGACAGAGGTATCATTATATAACACCAATATAGGTATATCACACCAATAAAGGTATATGACAGAGGTATTGCTATATAATACCAATACAGGTAATCACTCTGATATAGATATATCAAACAAATAAAGGTATATGACAGGGGTATCATTATATAACACCAATACAGGTATACCACACAGATAAAGATATATCACACCAATAAAGGTATATCAAATCAAAAAGGTATATGACAGAAGTATCACTACATCACACCAATACAGTATACGTAAAGACTTTCTTCAGTCGCATTTGTAAATAGCAGGTGATTTTAATTTAAAGACTTTCTTCAGTCACATTTGTAAATAGTAAGTGATTTTAATTTAAAGACTTTCTCAGTCGCATTTGTAAATAGTAGGTGATTTTAATTTAAAGACTTCCTTCAGTCACATTTGTAAATAGTAGGTGATTTTAATTTAAAGACTTCCTTCAGTCACATTTGTAAATAGTAGGTGATTTTAATTTAAAGACTTTCTTCAGTTGCATTTGTAAATTGTAGATGATTTTACAATTTTAAATGAACAGAACTGCAACAGAAAGGGAGTCATAATTAATTAATTAACTCAACTAACTAACTAACATTTTAAGGTAGGCATTTAACTGCAGCAACTTTTAAGCATGAAGCAGCTCTAAATATATTGTATAGATCTGATTTGTTGGTTAAGTCTACCTACCAGCGATATGTAAATTCAAACTTAAAGACTTCTGTATACTTCATAAACAAAGAAACTACTTACTTACTTACTTATTAGTTGGTAGGTATTTTGGTTACATCTACCAATTCCTGAACGGTCAGAAATGGTTGTTTCTCTTCACCCCACATGCAGAATTAGGTTTAATAACTAGAGGTTAGGGGTTTACATCGAAACTACAAACATCCAACTATTATCAAATTTCAAACATGGAAAGTTCAGAGGACTATGATGTGATGATATTGTTACGACGGCGGAAGTCATGTGACGCTGGTAACACATCATGAGTTTCTAAAAGGATCATGACTGTTCCTGGCAACTCTAGTGTTTGCCAGACGCCCTCTATTTTTGTATATAAGCCCGGCAAATAAAGCAGAGAAGAGGAGTGACGGCACAGATAATTGCAGATAGACAGATAATTGAGTCAGGTGAGTAATAGTGACTGTAAGTGACTGTGCGTGAATCGTTGTGAATTATAGCGTGTGTTTAAGTTAAAGTGACTGCGGAAATTAAGTGTATTGCAAAGTTGTATTGAGAAAGAATAAACTACTTTTATTTAAGAAAGGACTTGTATCGCTGAAGTTCCTCGGAAAGAATTTTTATGGGAAATTGACAAACGACCAGAGACGTAACAATATTATTATTTCATTTATTACCTTTTATACCATTTTAAATTGCATATACATTATTTGAATTCATTATCACTTCCCTGATGTTTAACAAGATTTTAATTTCATATATTGCTGATAGATAGACTTAACCAACAATCAGGTTTATATGATATTGTTTATGTGCACCTTAGAAACAGCATGAATATAATCTTGTGATTTTCTCACATGACTGATTTCAATTCATTAAACATTTTTTCATTTAGAGCTGTAATTCCACCTGACAAAGAGTTCTTTAAAGAGCTTGTGGGTTACTAAAATCATATATTTTAAAGTGATTTTTAACACCCTTTGTTCTCCTGAAGAAGAATAGTCAACTATTCGAAAGTGCTTGAGTTTTGGGTCTTTTTTTACGTCTATATATTTTAAAGTTGTACTTCAGACCATAAGTTTCACTTTACATTAATACATCCGAGTTTATATGAAAAGTTCTGTTGTGGAAATGTAGTTGTTTGACTTGTCAAAATGTGACTTACAAAAGAGTTAATTAACTCAGTTGACAGAGCAGTCTACTGGTGTGCTAGAGGCTCCAGGTTTGAATATTTCTTGTTGTTTGACTTGTCAAAATGTGACTTACAAAAAAAAAAAGAGTTAATTAACTCAGTTGACAGAGCAGTCTACTGGTGTGCTAGAGGCTCCAGGTTTGAATATTTCTTGTTGGAGACACAAAAATGGGATTGCCACACTCAGAATGTTAAGAATTACATTTAGTAACAATGTTAATTACAGTGAAGTTCTCAAAATACAAAAATATGAAATATTTATACACACTGATGTGAAATATACAAGGTGCTCCTTTTAGTTTAGTCAATTAAATGAATAATGCATTTAACTACAGTCAAAGAACAGAGAACTTATCAACAGCTGAATACGCAAGTGACAAGAAATAAAGGAGATTGTTTTCATTTCACAGTTTAGTACCTTCATCTAATATAATGGATCAAGAATGACAGAGATCATGGATAATTTACTGTCCACTCTACAACACACATTGTAGCTCTTTATACCATAGCACTATTTAGTTTTTCAAGACTGTTCTTGCACTCCAACCCTTGAGAAAAGTAAGAATTTAAACTAACCCTTTGTCTTTCAGAAAATTATTGACTCCCCTTTTAATCTTCTAGTCCTGGCCTCAATTACTGTTGATGGTAACTGATTCACAGGCCTATTAGAAAAATAAAACTGTCTTAACTGTAACCTAGTAATAAAATAATTGCACAGGTGAGGAAATAACAAACTGCAAAATAGAATATATAAAGTAATGGTGAAAAATTCAGCAAATTAAAATAATTTCATTGATAAAACATAAAAACAACATTTCAGGCAAAAGCCCTTCATCAGGTTTCCATTGAGAATGAAACTGTTAATAGAAAGGTTAAGTTGAAAGAACGAGTAACACGTGGCTCGAAGGCTCAAGAACAAGATCATAAACTACAAATGAGCTGAGGGGAAGTAACATAAAAAAAAAATAATAATTCAGTATAAGAAATGTACAAATATAGTAAATATTAGTAAATATACTAAAGAAAAAAGTAGAACCTGAATACAGGCAACAATTTAAGGAAATCTCTACACAAATAGTCTAGCTATAGAGACCCTACAGAATATAAACTACTTAGTTTCACATCTTCCACTGAAGAAATCTAGCAACATTAAATTAGAATATTAAATTAGGACAAGTTATCACAGTATAAGAACGTTGATAGGAATTGCAATGATATACCTTAGTTGATACATAGTGGAGAAATTTAAAAACATTATGATTAACATGTTCACCTGTCTAAACTAAGAGAACAACAAAAACTGGGCATATTTCACATCAGTGTTAACTAAGAGAACAGGAAAAACTGGCCATATTTCACATCAGTGTTAACTAAGAGAACAGGAAAAACTGGCCATATTTCACATCAGTGTTAACTAAGAGAACAACAAAAACTGGGCATATTTCACATCAGTGTTAAATAGAAGAACAACAAAACTGGGCATATTGCACATCAGTGTTAACTAAGAAAATAGGAAAACTGGGCATATTTCACATCAGTGTAAACTAAGAGAACAGGAAAACTGGGCATATTTCACATCAGTGTTAACTAAGAGAACAAGAAAAACTAAGCATATTTCACATCAGTTTAACTAAGAAAATAGGAAAACTGGGCATATTACACGTCAGTTTAACTAAGAAAATATGAAAACTGGGCATATTTCACATCAGTGTTAACTAAGAAAACAAGAAAAACTAAGCATATTTCACATCAGTGTAAACTAAGAGAACAGGAAAACTGGGCATATTTCACATAAATGTTAACTAAGAGAACAAGAAAACTTGCCATATTTCACGTCAGTTTAACTAAGAAAATAGGAAAAACTGGGCATATTTCACATCAGTGTTAACAAATAGAATAGGAAAACTGGGCATGTTTCAGTGTAAACAAAGAGAACAGGAAAAACTGGGCATATTTCAGTATAAACTGAGAGAAATGGAATATATATACTCAAGTTTTTCCTGTTCTCTTAGCTTACACTGATGTGAAATATACCGTTTTCCTGTTCTCTAAGTTAACACTGATATGAAATATGGCCAGTTTTTACTCTTCTTTTAAGATTTTAAGAGCTTCAGTCTAGCTAAACATTGTTACTAGGATGTTACACAGTGGTTATTCCATTTTTTGAATCTCCTGCAAGCAGGATTTGAGCAGGGAACTTCTTAGACACCAGGCAAATATTTTACCAACTGATTGATATGGATAATCCTTAGCTATTGCTAGTAGCACACTTTTTAACTCAAACTACCACAAAGACTTGTACATCCAAACATTAAGTTAATCCCAAATGTGGTTTGATTCAGAACCATGGAGTTATTTGACTCTTACATGTCTCACAAACATAAAACATATTTGCTTGTGATCAACAATTTTTTAACCAGCATAAACATAGTTCATATTTGAGAGTTAGGCAAGTACTTCTTCAGTTATAAACTTCTGGTTGTCTTCTGAATCAGATAAAAATTTGCTCCCACACTTTTATTCTGTCATTAGTGAGCTAACAAAAATACACTACTGTGGTTATTACCACAAGATAAACTCCATATCAAACATCTGTTAATCAGTGTTATAAGCATCAACTAACCAAGTCTGTGTTTCAAAAAACAGTACAACAAAATGTTTAATCACTTCCAAAATAAATAAACATGTTAACCACTAAATCAGAAGTACTTACAGTACATTATATTAATTATTAACATGGGTGGGGGTGGGGGGTAGGTGCAGCCCTCCCCCTGGAAAATAAGACATATTTCTTCATTCAATATATATTTATTAAGTTGACTTAGAATTTGCCCCTCCTCAAGAGAAATTCCTGTGTACTTCCATGTAACATCTAAATCAGAAGTACTTACAGTGCATGATATCTATTGTTGCCTTGTAACAACTAAATCAGAAGTACTTACAGTGCATGATATCTATTGTTGCCTTGTAACAACTAAATCAGAAGTACTTACAGTGCATGATATCTATTGTTGCCTTGTAACAACTTACCTTCTCTGTTCCAAGAAACAACATATGCTCACAGAAATGGGCAAGTCCTGGTATATGCCAGGGGTCACTCATATGGCCTAAGGTAACAAAAAAGATACTAATTTATTTATCATACATTATTGATTTAGCTAATGTTTTAATGTTTGATCAAAAAATCTGTGTTGTTAGAATTTTCAAATAACTATATTTAGGTTGATTTTCATATGTTATGTAATAAAACCATCAGTACTTGATGAAACTTCATAATTACTAAATTGAGGAAAACAAAGACAATTGTGCGTTTCACAAATATGTCATTTATTACTTCTACCAACGAAGCCCTTACACTGTTTCAGGCGAAACCGCGGTATTAATAAACACATTCATCGTTGTTTTCCTCAGTTCTAGTTTCCAACTAAATTTGAGTTTCAGGAACATTACAACTGTCTATAAGAATAACTTTCAGATACGCATAAAAATCCTAGAAATGAAAATATTTAAAATGTATGCTTCATAACGTAATTTGCTATAAAATTATATAATTGTAAAGATGCACATATTTTTCGTACATTTATGATTTTCCATAACATTTTTAATACATTTTTACAGAATATCAATAAATAATACTAAATACACGTTCTACACGTTTTCAATTGTTACACATTTTGTATAATAAGGTCAAGAAATATTTACGATACAATAGCTTTACAATATTTAGCATTGGCGTAGAGATAGGAAGTAGAAACCCCTTACCCCTACTTTTGAATCTATCTCAGCAGCCCCCTAGTGGCACAGCGGTATGTATGCGGTCTTACAACGCTAGAAACTGGGTTTCGATACCCGTGGTGGGCAGAGCACAGATAGCCCATTGTGTAGCTTTGTGCTTAACTTCCAACAAACAAACTGTCTCAGCAATAATTTATTAAAATTAGGAAAATTATTCTCAGGAAAAGCAGGAAAATGCATAAAATTTAATCCAGAACCTAATAGCTTTCAGAGCCTTGGACCCCGGCCGTAATGGGTGTACCCGTGGCGCTTCGCTCGGTCAAATAAACCTTGGGCCTTCCCACTTTTAATTTGCCTCCTACATCTCTGTTTAGATTAATGAATATAATATACGGACAACAACAGACCATCTAATCCTACAGAGCTACCTATGCCACCCCTGAAGAAAAGTATAGATTAAAAAATTAAACCCATCCTCTACTTTTCAGCAGTTCAACGATTCTCCTCTTTAAACTCCTGTAACATGTAGTCTGTAGACCACCATTATCAAAATCAAAAGCAATTTTACCCACAAATTATCATTTAAAAAGAAAAAAAATCTATGTTTTTCATGAATGTTTCTTTTCAAGTTATACCATTAAAGCGATACATGGATGGACACAATTATTTACTGGTTTTGGGCACACTGTTCAGAGATAACGACACACTATTTATAACTATACATTTTTACCTATAATCTGTAACTGAATCTATCCATAAGCTTTGTTTTCTATTTTACTTTCTCAAAAAGTTAAATAAAAGTACAAATAAATAACTAAAGGCGCTGGTGTTGTTTTAAACCCAAAGAGTTCTTTTAAAGTTACCAAATCTTAAACTCGGGTGTTTTTAAGTTTTTTAAATGTGCAGCTTTTGTGCGTTTTTCTTGCAAAACAATACAGCATATACAAATGTGGAATTCTAAACATTTTATTTTCTAATAATTAATTTTAATTATATTGCATGCTGAATTGTTCATGAACCAGATAATGGTTCCTAATAGGGATCGCAAGGAACTGCACAAAACCCTAATGGAACGTTGGGGCAAAGAGTACCTTTTCAACAGTAAATATTCTATTCAATTGACTATTGGCTGCGAAAACTGTACACATAAAAAACATGCATGTTATTAGATTTACAAGGAAAAGAAAATCCGCTCAAAACAGCCCGTTTGTCATTCTTATTATTATTCTCTTGCCAGCCTACAACAAAAACAACTAGGTATATTGCACCCAAACCTTTTGTAGAATACTAAATAAGGTACTGTGAAGATCTTAGGGTATTGAAAAGTTGATTTGTTTCTTCTATATTTCACATAAGCTAAAAAACATCATAATTCTAGTGTAAACGATGTTATCATTACCCCTTGAAATTAGCTTTTTTACAAATATCTGATGTTCCTCTAAAAAGCTTGAGTACATGGTGAAACAAGAATTACCACCCAATGATAGATGAACATTAGATGACTGTAACATGTAGATGATACTCGATGCTTTCTACACTATACAATCGGTGTACTTAGAGAGCCGACTCCTATATTATGTATGAAGTGAAGGAATAAAAAAAATCAATATACATAATATTTAATTTGATTACACACATTCGCAAAATAATTACTTTAAAAGACACGAAGGTATATTTAAAGCGACGTTTTAGACGTATATGTTTTATTTG